TACAAAAAAATCAGTACATAAAAGAGCGTTATGCAAGCTATCAATATTTATGAGACATAGAAAAATGCTCTCAATATAACACAAATTAGAAAAAAATGCAGGAAATTAAACTATATTTATTGGATGAGTCCCCACTGGTAATCAGGACAGCCACCAGCTACACAGAGCTATGCTCCCCAGAAGTCCTGAAGTTAATGCATCAAACTCGCAATATTACTCATCTTCAAGATTCCAAATTACTTACTTGCTTCTTTATATATTTCATTACTTTATAAATGCAAAAAGCAAGCAGTATTACTATCACAAAAAAATTGTTTTGGAAATCTTAAAACATACTACAAGAAATGTTTATAAAAATAATTTTCTAAAGTTGGAAGAAAGAAGATCTTACAACTCTTCTAATGGAAGATGATGTTGACAAACCCTTCTAATGGAAGAGAGATGACAAAGACATAATTAAGACAGCATCTCTTCCAAGAGCTTCTATGTATCAAGGGTATTGGAAAGATACCAAATATGCCAAGGAACTAAATCAAACAGAAATCATAAACCCAGGAGGTCAGAAACATTCCAAGGTCTCTCTTTAAGAAATGAAAAAAAAAAGCTAATGATGCCAACACAATATGCTCTCTTGTCGCTTTCTTCCCCTTTCCCTAATCAGGTAAGATTCTCTCTTGGAAACGAGTCAAGATATGATTTTCATGCTATCTTTGTTTTCACCTATGTTAATGGCGGGGGGGAGGTTAATATAACTTAGAAAAGCAATGCCTCTCATTATTTAGGGGAAAGGAACAACGGCTTATAACCACTGCACAATGAAACAGCACAGGAAACTTCATGGTAGGCTAACTCTGCTAAGTGCCTCATTACATCGTTCTTGATGGAATGAATGGAACTCTCTCCACATACTAATTGGCCTCTTTATTCTCAGGGACACTGACTTAACAAGGATGACCAAAGAGATGGCAAAATGGTTTAAGTATTCACACTGATTGAAATACTCTTTCCCAAGATGAACTATTAAGCACACATAAAATCTCAAATGAAAATACATCTTCTAGCAAGATACTTTCCATACAAAGTGTGAGCAAAATGTTCTCTAAAAGAGTTGAAAAAGGCAGTCAGCCACAAAATGCTGGGAAACAGGAATGAGTAGACATCACAAAGGACTTTGAAAAATGCCAAGACTCTCTTCCCCACAACGTCTCACCTCCATAAAAAAGTATGAAAAATTTTAAGATATCCAGAAGCCCACAGAACCCTTGGTCTCTCCAAACTCTTTTCTGGCTTAGTAGCATCAAAATCTGTCTACCTTGCCCCCTAAACTTAAGAGTGGAATGAGATATCACCACTGCTTTAACTGGGAAGACTCCACCTCTCACAGCAGAGTTCAACATGGTGGTGCTGTAACACACCGGAATGGAACTTCCCTGTTCAGAAATAAGAGCTTTTAATTGATTGGTGACATTATTCTAAAATTGTGTTTTGCTTATTCAGTTTGGAAGAATAGAAGCCACTTAACTATATTAGTTATACAAGAATGTCAACTTGTTTTAACTATTAGAGATCAACGAATCAGAAGACTTTGAACCCTTACTAATCTACTTTTGTTTTTATACAGAAAACCTAAACCACTACACACTGATAAGGATTTATAACATCTTGAAATTGTGCAGCATTGGTAAGCTCTCAAGGACTCAACAGAAATAAATAAATTTAATACTGATCAGCAAGTATGCTTTCCTCCAAGTGTCTCTTCTGAATATTGAAAACATGGGAAGTTTTTTAATAAATGAAAATAAGATAGCATTTAATCAGCTATATACATATTTTTAAAAACCTCAGGGGCTGGCCTGGTGGCGTAGCAGTTGGGTTCACACACTCTACTTCGGAGGCCCAGGGTTCGCAGGTTCGGATCCCGGGCACAAACTGGCGCACCGCTTATCAAGCCATGCTGTGGTGGTGTCCCATATAACGTAGAGGAAGATGGGCACAGATGTTAGCCCAGGGCCAATCTTCCTCAGCAAAAAGAGGAGGATTGGCAACAGATGTTAGCTCAGTGCTAATCTTCCTCACACACACACAAAAAATCTCTCAGATTGAAATACAAACAGCTTAAAATTTAGACAGCAAGCTTAGCAAACTGGTATTTGAAAAGTAAAGCCAAAGACAACTCAAAAGACAAATTCATTACACATTACCCTTTATGTGTGTCCCATGTTGTATGTGTATGTGTGTTGTATGATTTCATCTAAAGATATGTATGTAAATCAAGGCCTTTCCCACGGCAAAGTGTGGGCATTTGGCTACATTAAGTACCACTCCAGATAGAGAAAAAGCTTATTGAATAATTAACCATTTTTAAAACAAATAAAATTATATTCAAGTTTGTCTCACGGCACTGACATTTACACTGTGGAAAAAAAGGAAACAGTATTAATGTCCAGCAAAAGGAGAACAATAAATTACTGTATATTCTATAGTGGAATATTTTGCATTCATTAAAAATATTTTCTAATAAAATTCACACCAGGGGAAATCCCTATGATGTGAAAAAATGCAGAAATAATCAGGATGCAAATATGTAGACAAAGCATGACTCCAACTGTGTGTGTGTGCGCGCGCGCGCGCAAGCATGTGTGTGCACTAACATTTAATACTGATTGTTACTGAGTTTCGGAAGTATGAATACTTAATTTTGTTCTATTCTATTAGTTTCCCAAGGTTTTTTACAATGATAGATAAATGTTATGTAAAACAAAAAGTCAGTGAGGTAGATGTAATTAATCAGCAACGAGCATCTCAACTTCATCCAGTGTGCCTCCTTGTGGGGCTGGAAGGCTAAAATCCATTTCCCAGCCTCCCCTGCCCATAAGGATCTGGATGCAAACTGCATTCTGCCCATTGAGATTCAACAGCCTGAGATTTTAATGATGGCTGTGAAACAGAAAATTTTCTTCAGCTGCTGCTACTGCTGAGCAAGGCTGTGGAGATGACGGAGTCTTCCAAGGCATTTCTGAGTTCAGTTCCCAGCTTCACAGGTTACAAGAAGCAAGGTGAGCACACCTGGAGACAGTGCTAATGTCTAGTGGGCGATGCAGGTGGGGGATCCCAGGTCCCTGCGCTGCAGCCCCGCCTCCTTCCCTGGGCAGAGCGGATGTGTGGCACTGCTTTGTTCACAGAGTCCCTGCAGCCCAGCATACAGCCTACTCCTCAAGCCCTTTCAAGGATTTTCTGAGAAATAAATTCGGAGTATTAAGTCCTTTTATATTCAAAATAGCCACTATGGTTCTGTTTGCTGCAACTGAAGCTGACTCACACACCCAAGATGTTGAATGAGTTAAAAAGAAACCCCTCGGGCCGACCCCGTGTCGGCATAGTGGTTAAGTGTGTGCGTTCCGCTGCTGGCAGCCGGGTTCGGATCCCGGGCGCACACCGACGCACCGCTTGTCAGGCCATGCTGTGGCGGCATCCCATATAAAGTGGAGGAAGATGGGCACGGGTGTTAGCCCAGGGCCAGTCTTCCTCAGCAAAAAGAGGAGGATTGGCATGGATGTTAGCTCAGGGCTGATCTTCCTCACAAAAAAAACAATAAAAAGAAACCCCTGACTACCTTGATGACTTCGGACTCCCTATCCTTCAGCTAAGCAAAAATCTTTTTAAAAAGTAATGAATTTTTTTACACTGCCAACTTGACTTGTTTGTACATTTGTGGATATCCACGGGAATTAGGTCTATTCTGAACACAAATTAAATGCCATGAGGCCTATTCATGAACCAGATTCTGCTTCTTGGGATGGTCTACTGCATGGCAAAGCACTCTCAAGTCTCAAGCTAATCTCAATGAGAAGCTTCTCCAATAAGATTCCTCATCAAATACATAATAAAATATTTCAGAAGAGTGACCCTAAGAGTTAAACCCCTAAAAATCAGAGACTATAGTACACTGTTTTATCCTGGTAGATTCTGCTCAGTTTAAACTTATGTATTCCATGTATTTTTTTTCCTTACTTGAACTAGTACAAAGAACAGCTTGCTGAAATGCAAAATCAAGTTAAAAGAAATATTTAAAACAAGTATTTTAACATAGATGCAATGGATACATCAAGCAAATATCAAGCTTCATTCATTTTAATATTAAGATGTGATTAGTATATTTCCACATTTCTCAATACATACAGTACAGTGCTCAATTACTGGCTGCACTGAAAAATGTTTATTAATTCATTCAACAGATGTTTACTGAGAGTCTACTCTATAGAATCAGCAGCGAAAATGACAAAGAACTTCAAGCTCCTTGGGTAAAAGGTGAGAGGTACACAGAATGGAATGATAAGGGCTCTGCAGGAATATATGACAAAGAGCATTAACAACCAAATTGGAAAAACATAGACTAAATAGACTAAAAGTTTATTTAGACTAAATAAATTAGGTCACAGACTAAAATAAATTAGGTCAAAGAAGAAAATGTCATTAAGACTAGACAGTACACTTCCATTTCACAGAGAGATAAAATTATCAATTGGGTCGTTAGAATAAATGACCATGGAGTCTACTTTCATCCTTAGAAGTCCATAATGCTATAATTTCTAATGTACCTCAAGAGTTCATATGAATATCTGCCTAAAAATATTCTTGTGAGGACATGCAAAAAGCTAATAAGGAGGTTGGACATGAAGAGAAATAGGGTGACTAAGAGACAAGGTGGGAGAGAGACTTTACAGGGACACATTTCACACAGAAAGTTTTCATTTTTAATCATATGAATCTATTATTCTATTCAAAAAGTGGATACATAAAAAACGTACACAATATATAGCAGCGAATTTTATCAGAAAATTCAAGGGCAATATAAAATAGGAAGTTAGCTGAACTTGGATGTAAACGTCAATAAGCACACACACAAAGGGCCACAGTGAAGATGCTCTAGAAGCAAAGGGCCTCGTCAACAGTGGACACTCATCATTGATACCAAGAAGACACAAAACAGAAGTGGTTACCTTCCTGTCACAGGTTTTAGGGCTACCAGCAGTGTTTGGCTTGAGGAAGCCAGCTGTTGTTGACCAGCGTGTGGGGTTTTTCCGTGAAGGCTCTTCAGAGGAAAAATTATTCTCACTGACAGAAGTTGAGAGGCCAATTAAAGCCGGGTCACTACTTCGCCGAACATGAAGAGGCATATCTATAAATACAGAAAAGCATTATGTTTTTTTAAAAAAGATAACTAACATCTGAAAACTATACGTTAGGATAAAGGCAGTTAAATCCCAAAGATTAAAGAATAGAATAACACTTTGAAGGTGACCGCGGGTCAGCGTTCTAAACAGAAATTCCATTAGTTGCTTTAAAACACTTCATGGCGAAAGAAACGTGGCTTGTATGGGACGACACGCTCTGGAGTAAGACTGCCTGGGCTGGCACTTGCACTTCACCACTTGCCATCTGTGTGGCTCTGGGCAAGCTGCCGAACTGTGCTCTGCCTCTAGTCCCTTCCTGAACAAAGGGCAATAAAATAGTACTTCTTTCATCGGGTACCATGAGAACTAAGTGAGATAAAGGACTTAAAACAGTGCTGGACAGATAGTGTGCGCTCAATAGAGAGTAACAACAATAGCCATTACTGCTATTATTATCCCAACGTTTCCAAGGAAAATAGCATATGTATTCTAAAATAGAAATAACAGATCTAAGCCATGGAACAAATTTCATCTAACTTTTAGACATATCTACTGGACTAAAAATACAGAATCTAAACAGTCTTTGGCTAGTCTATTAAAGAATTCTGTTAAATAAACATTTCTTTTGTTCAATAAAGTACTATCAGAAAGTGTAGAGCACAAATATATTTCTTATCCTTAAGAAAATGGAAATTTTGAAAATAATATGCTAATATGAATGCAGTAGTATCTAGCATATACTCATATACCCAATCACTTGAAGGACAGTGTTTTAGCAACTGCATTGAGATAAAAGAGGAGTTTGTTTGCGATTGCTATAACAAAATCAATAACAAACAGGCTAACATTTGCATCAGTAGCACTGAGAACATCATAGCTGATACGATCAATGTTACAGCAGAGAAGAAACAGAACTACAAAACCAGAAAGAATAAAAGCACATAAATCTGTAACACCGAGAAGCAGAATCAAAAGCCCCACTCATCGACTGAGCAAAATCACTCAAAAACATAATAAATACAAGACAAAAAATTTAGATTAAATTATGTTTCCAGTAATCTGTTTTCAAAAACTAGGATGCAAGTTAAATATTTATTAAAAGCCTCTAACAAAACAACTTTAATGGTGAAGGAGTAAACTCATCATTTGCTCCATGAGATACATTTTTAGAACTTTGATGCATTGGTCAATGGTGTGGATACATAGATCCTGGAGATGCTAAACTAAAGACAGATTATTTACATACATTGAAGGTTATATTTAAACCATTGTCAATCCAATGGGCTCAAAGATGTTGAAGCAAATTAGAAAGGATCAGAGAAAACAGAAGCATATGAATCATAATAATATTGCATTTAACATTTGCTTCTACATCACGAGGAATTGATCATAATAGAGCCTGAGTAATATTACCAGAGAAAAAATATGCTGAACATTTAATTTAATCTTGTTAGTGGTTATCTTAATTTGCTGGAAGAAACACACACATGAAAATTATAGAGAAGAATAATTTCCAATTTTTAAGTGTGTGTAAAAACTTGTGACAGCCCTTACTGCTTATAATATGCACTAAAAAATAAAAATAAAATACACCGAGAAAAACTGTATAGACACTCTCAAAACAAGTTCACAAAAATATGCATCTAAGAATCTGTGTGTGTTAATGCTACAATGCTCTTACTAAAAAAAAAGTTCTTTCTCAATTAACAAAATTATTCCCAGATTCCTCAAATCAAAGACGTAAGCAGAAAAGCAACAAAATGGGGAGAAGAATAAAATATTTCTGGGCAATTATAACACTGCTTCTTGGATATGGATTCTGTTGCTTTCCAATTACAGGGTCCTTAATTACTTAATTATTAAGGAACGCAATTTCTCTGTGTGTGTGTGTTTAAGCCTAAAAGAAGCACTATTAGTTCACAAGAGAAGGCCTTTAAAAAATGGTACAGAGATAATGACCAACAGTCCCACCCACAATAATAAAATAACCACATAAAAGTATATTTCAACCCCAGAATAAATTCAGGGACTATATAATTTCATTGAATTTGCCTGGACACAATAAAACATCTTACTCTACTTGGTTTTGAACTTTCCCCAGAAGAAATCAATTGCATACATGATTCAGATTAGATAAATAATTAGGAGGATCATCTACTGATGGGACATGATCATTGTGTTAAGATGTTAGTCTGAAATAGACAAAAATAATTAGCATTTACCTCTTTGTATCTGTAACTCTCACAATTGTAGACTTGGGGAAAGAGAGGGGACTAGAGACCAGGTGGGTTACAGTGGGGACTGCAGACCCAGTGGGTTGTCCCTTCTGGGTAAATGCTGGTAGAGGCCCCAGGGCCGCATTTATGTAAACGGCACAGTGAAGGATGACCCAGGAGACTGCTATCAGGCAGCCCTTCCTGTGAGCTCTGAACTTTTTGTTTTCATTTCAGTGATACCTATAAAAGAAATTCACATAAATGTAGTCTGGACCTTTCAATTGTACTACCTTGTAACCGGGTACCCCCATGCAATTTCAGGCCCCATGTTTACATTTGTGTCTACTGTCAAATTCAGGACGGTGTCCTCGATTTGATTACCAGGCTAATGGGAAAAGAACAGAACTCAATTTAAAAAGCAAACAATGTGTTCTCACCAAAAGAATGTCAAATGACATCATAACGATCTTGAAATCAAAGTTTTCTTGCCGTTGGATGTGCTGTAAGAACTGAGTTATCACAGCGCACAGAAGCAGCATCACTAGGTCCAATGCGGAGACCCTACACCCCACAGCGGCGGTCCACCTTCATGCTGCCTGCAATGCAGACTCAGCGACACAGCGCTGTCTCTCACACTGATGGTGTAAATTTGCATTTTTATTGGTTTATAATTTCTTCTTTGGTTTTATGGTTGTGTAAAAATTGGAAGGCATTTTTATCCAGTTTATGCACATACACACAAGTTTAAGTAATGTTGTATTAGAACCAATAATTTAACTTGGAGGGATCTGAATCTCTCTTTCAAAAAAAAAAAGTCTCTACTTTAGTCACAGTGGAGAAACACGTGACTGGCTTCACAGAAGATTACGCTGAGGTCTAGAGACAACATGACCAGAGCAGGGACGATTTCTTGGCCAGACCTTCAGGCTCCCGGGTCAGTGCTGAATCACCACCCAAATCATGAAATTAGTTCTATTATTCAACAATTCATTGGAAAACAAATTCCATTTCTAGCTGCTTGCAGATATAAATGTTAGTCTCAATTTTGTAAAAGGAGAATTTTGCTGTTTTCTAAGTAGAATTCTATACACTGAGAAATCATTCAATGATTTTAACTAGTAGCATCATTTGATTTGGGGGAGTTAAAGAAACATTACGTTAGCTGTACCTACAAACTGAAACAACAGGCATCTCAATTTCAGAAATGTTCAAGTGGAAGAAGGAAAAACAACCCTACTGGGTAAGCAGAGCAAGTACCATGTCTAAGGTAATGAAGCGTGCTGCAGAGGACAGCGGCCTACACCAGCGCTTCTCACACTTTGACCTCAGGATTCTTTCACTCTAAAAATTACTCAGGGCCCCAAAGAGTTTGTGTATGTGGGTTATAGCTAGGGATATTTACGTTAGACGTAAAAATGAAAAAAAATCTAAATATTTATTTATTAATTCATTTTTAAGTTAACAATACTAAACCTACTACATCTTAACACAAACAACAGAATTTTATGAAAACTATTTTATAAAACAAAGCATATTTAGTGGGAGAGTAGCACTGTTTTACATTTTGCTTAATAGAAAACATCTGGAGTCTCACCCCTGCTTCTGCCTTGAATCTACTGCAAAGTGACCAAGTATATGAAGAAAAAAGAACTCCACAAATATTTAGCTGGAAGAAGGAACAGTACTTTAATAATCTTTCCAGAAAATTGTGGATATTCTTCTTTGATACCACACCAAAACTTGACAAATGAGAGTTTCTCAAAGGTTAGCTGCAATACGAAATGTAAACTTTTCATTCTTTGTTACATTAAATTAAATTATATTAAATTCTACACTTTGAATGGATCTTTTACCTATGAAAAATTTTGTAACACTAGCTATTTGGACTATATTAGTTATTGGGTTATGCCAATTATCCAAATGTTGATATATTTCTTCATGTCAGAAAATCACATATGTGAATATCACTACCAATTTCACCAGAAAAGTCATTAAGTATTGGGAAGTTGTCATGCTGATGGTGGGATATAAGTTTTCCAAAACCTAATTTTCACTAGAAAGCTTCAACGTTATCTCTGGCAACAAATACTATCAGCTGTTTGCCATTTAGTGGCAGGCTCACTTCATCTATTTTCTAGAAACTCTGCCAGACACCAAAGTCTAAATAACTAGTTTTTCTGTCTTTCTTTCAAATAGACATGGTGCTCCATTAAAAAATGGCTACCTCAGCTTACAACTCAAACCATCAGATAATATTTTTTCTCAAGACACCATTGACCTTCAATGTGTAGAAGTACTTTATGCCTGCCTCCCATTTTGTCACACAAAATGTTGAATTGTGCATTCAAGGGTCAGGATTTTTAAAAAGTAATCATTTTGCTGCTTTATCAAGGATAATGGATGAAAATGGCTTTTTTTTTTTTTTAACTGTGAGTGTATTGGGTGAAGAATACGTATGGTACCACCTGATTTGTCCAAACGGCCTCCATTTTACCCATCAGTGCCTGGACACCACTGGCACAGATGTCAACCCAGTGAACAACACAAAATACGTTTTAGTAATACTACAAGAAAAGTTTTGCCTAAAAGCCTCCCTGAAATGGTCTTAGTGACTCCCAGGGACCCACAGACCACACATTCAGAACCACTGGCCTAGACTTGTAATCCTGGCTTGTCGGTTCACCTCCCCAGCCTCGCTCTCCTCATCTATAAAACCAGAGGCTGCACTAATGGGGTCAGAAGATCATATAAATGCTAAAAGATGTGTGATTCCACATAGGTTCATATAC